CCCCACCCAAACATGCATATCCCTTTCCAGGAGACGCAGACACCTAAATACACACACAGACCACAGGGCACCCCACAGCCAAACTCACAAACACCTGGGTACTCCACTGCATGCGCACCCCACTGCTGGATACATAGATACCCCACACCCGGACACTTGGGTACCCACACCCAGACACCCAGGCAGCCTGGGCAGCCCCACAGCTGGACACAACACGGCTATACTCCCACATACCCATTAACCTGAGGACTCCCAGACACCTGGATACACCCACCTCCAGATCCAGAGACACTGGGATATCCTTATGTTGACACACCCAGTTCCTCCCACGTCCTGGCACTGGGACACCCACACCCAGAACCTGAGATACCACCCACCCAAATAGCTCCACCCCCAAACTCCTGGAATCTGACACTTGGATACCCAGACACCCCAGCATCAGGCTCCCCAGGTTCAGACCAGCTTGTCGCCTCCTTACTCCAAGTTCAGATCCTGCCACACAGGGTAACCAGATGGCTAGACTCCCTGAGAAGCCACACATGTGTCCTGTGCCCCAGGCTGCAATCATACCATCAGAACCACACACACACACACACACACACACACACACACACACACACACACACACACTCTCTCTGACTGCCCAGATGTCAGAATCACACCTGCACACACCTCAGCCTCCTCCCCGAACCCCACCTGCAGGGGTCAACACAGGGGGCAGCTCTCCTCCCTTCCCAGGCTCACAGGCAGCCAGGACAGAGGCTGAGACAGAGGACAGAGTCTGCCCTCCTGCCGCAGGGCCCTCCCCTCCTCCCCAGACGCTCAGACTGACAGTTGGGACTCGATGCCTCTCACCAACTGCCGAACCTCCAGCACAAAGAGCTGAGACCAGGGGCCGGACAGGCCCTGCCAGCTGCTGGGGGGCAAGGGCAGTGGGGGTGGGGCTCGGAGGACGGTGGCTAGGGGGAGGGGCTGGCAGGCAGAGAGTTGACCTCTCCAACTCACAGCTCCCAGACAACACTCTCTGCATGGCCTTTTCACACACACCATCCCCCAGCAGAATTTTCCAGATTCCTGGAGGGAAACCTATTATCTGTAATCTCTACTTTCAGTGGAGTCAGTGCGCCCCCATCTGGCATCTCCGGCTCAGAACCTGACCCACGGGACATCACTCATTCTTTCATGCTGGGTGTATTTACTCAGCAGGAGTGGGCCAGGCCTTGTACCTGGCACTAAAGATTCAGAAGGAAACTAAATACCCAGTCCCTGTCCCCACAGAGCTCATGTAAGGGAGAAAGGACAAATAAACTGTAATTACAATAATTACGGTGTTATGGAAAACCCTAATCAACCCCCACCCTCCCTTTTTAGGCTAGAAGGGGGAGTAACCAAGGAAGGCTTCCGAGAGGAGGTGATGGCTAACCTAAAATCCTAAGGAGGAGCAGGAGATCACCCAGTGAAGAGGTGGAGTTAGAGAGTTCTGGGGAGAAAATATAGCTTGTGCAAAGGCCCAGAGAGGAGGTGGCAGGAGTGGACATTTAGTGGGTATTAGTAAGTGGGTTAGACTGGCCACAGCATAGGATGCAAGGCAAGTAGTGCAAAGCTGATGGGACTGGACAGGCAGGCAAGGGTTAGAGCAGGCAAGAGGACATAGCGGGAGGGACTTAACCCAGGAGGTAATGGGGAGCCTTCAAAGGGTTTCAAACCAAGGTTTCAAACACGTGTTTTAGGAAGATCCCTTACACTATGGAGGGAGGGGTGGAGGAAGAGGCTGGAGCCTTCCTGCCTGTGAAAGATGGATGAGGATGGAGAGAAGGGGACAGATGAGAGAGATCCTGAGATGGCATAAAGGTAGGATGCATCAGGATGTAGGGAGAGCAGCTTGGAGGAGGGAGGGGGTTAAAAGACGAAGGAGGGCACAAGGTACCCCAGCAACTCTAACTAACCCAGCCCTGCATGAAAAGCCACCACCCACCCCATTCTGGCTTAGCTGATGAAGGCATGGAAGGATGGCAGCATGCCTGGAGCAAGCAGGGTGTCCCCCTGGATCTTCCCTGACACCAGAGCTAGGACGGAGGCCGTCCAGGAGCTCAGCATCCACCCCCCACTCTGGCCACTCACACATCTTCCTGCTGTGTCCCTCCCCCACCCCCAGGGAGAAGGGCCAGCTGCCCAGACAAGCCTTTATTGCCCAACCTGAAACCACTGGGCAGCCTCTCCCTCATTCCTGCTGTCCACAACTCCAGCAACCAAAAGGACAAAATGAGCTAGAATGCAGCAGAATAAATTACTGCCAGATTTGCATGGCTCAGAGACATCACCACCCACCCTTTGGGGGGAGGGAGACTCAGGAGGCCTTCAGGGAGCTGGGCTGACTCTAATCAACGTGGGGACAAGGGGAGATCACACCCCTTCTACTAAGGGCTTCTGAATTAAGCTCAACAGTAATAGCTACAGGTGCCAGGAACTGTAGAAGTGAAGTGACTTGCCCAAGGTCACAGGGACAGCATGTGGCAGAGACAGACTTGCACCCAGGTCCCTCTGGCTTCAAATCACAGTCTCTCGCTCTGTAGCAGTCCTCAAAACCATCTTTTGTTCCCTGGCACTCACAAACAGAGCTTTAGTTTACAATCTACCAAGTACCATACACCTTCATTATGAAGCCCATGGGGCAGATGAGGAAACGGCGGCCCCAAGAATGGAAGTAACCCACTCAAGATCTCACTCCCAAACCTCAGTCCTTGACAGTCTCCCCTACCGGCAGGAGCTAGGGCACCTGAGGGTTCTTGGAATCAAGATGATGGTGGCAGGGATGGGGGAGCATGTACCCTTGGTTTGATCTCAGGGTGGGGGAGGGGGACAAAGTTGCTGCAGGACAGGGGGAGGGATTGGGGGAGGATAAGGAGGGAGGCCGCCTTAGGCGTCCTCTCGGGCACCGAGCGGTCAAAGCTAAAGCTGTGCGCGATGGCCTGGGACCGCTGGGCCCGGCAGAGCTCAGAGCCAGTGGCCGGGGCGGCTGCAGGTGCCCAGGGAGCTCCGCCCGAGGGGCCGGAGGGAGCAGCGGGGCAGCGAACGCGATCGGGAGAGGCCAGTTCTCGGAGACCGGCGGCCTGAAGGAGTCTCTGGGGCCGACGTGCTTCTGCCCGTGTCTTGGCTCGGGTACCCGTCTGGGGCGTCTCCCCGTTACTCAGCGCCCCAGGTACCAGGCTGAAGCCGCCCAACTGGAGGGGCTAGGGGTGCCGAGACCACCACCGGTAAGGGACCTGCCACCCCCGCCCCAGGGGAGGCATCGGGCGCAACTCAGCAGAAGAGGGCCGCAGTCTGGGATCCCAGGCCTCAGGGTAGGATGGGGGGTTGGGAAGGGGGTGGACAGACACACCAACACACACACAGACTACACACGGTCCACAGCACACACGGGTACACAGACACAGCTTTAGATACACACATTCAGAAACGCTATCACACGTACAATTACACACACACACACACACACCACAGCCCAAAAGACTCCAGACTCCAAAACACACCCAGAGACAGCGCGGTCATACAGCACACAGAAGCCCGGAGACACACGCTCACACACGTACACTCACTCACGGCCGTCCCGGCCGGCGGGGAGGCCGCACAAAGTTGCGGAGTCGACTGAGGGGGTGTCCCGGGAGACCCCTGCGTTCGCGGCGCCCCCAGCGCGCTACGGGAGGGGGCTCCGTCCGGCCGCCCAGAGCCAGGCCCGGCCCGCCCGGACTCACCCCCGCCCAGCTGCCCTGGAGCAGCCACGGCCCGGCCCCCGCAGGAGCGCCCGGGCGCCCGGCCTTACCCTCCCGCCGGCCTCGGCGCGCCCCGCGGCCCCCCGCGTCCGCCACCCCCCCGCGCCGGGCCCTCCCCAGTCCCGGGCCGGGCGCCCCGCAGCCCCGGCGCCGCCTCGGATCTGCCGCCAGCCAGCGCCGCGCCGAACTTGCGAAACAACAAACAGCCCGAAATGTCGGAGTCGGCGGCCGCCGGGCCCCCATCCCTCCCTGGCGAGCCTCAGGCCCGGCCCGACCCGGGAGGGGAGGGGAGGAGAAGGGAGGGGGCGCCGCCACGACAACTTGTTCCGGGCCCGCGCGCCCCACACGCACACCCGAGGGACACACACACACACACACACCCTGTCACCGCCCCCTCGGGCGGCCCCGGGCCCCGTGCACACACTCAGCCACGGCCCAGGCGCGCACCACACTCGCAACATTCCCGGACACGCAGCCAGCACGCAGGAACACACTCACATCCGTTCCAGACACGCTCCTACACACGCATTCCCGGCACATTTGGCATTCACTCGGACCCGCGCAGCCCCCCGGCGGCGCACACCACCAACCCCAGACACTCCCACACGTACACATTGCGCACACGGCGCACGGACACACACGTTCCGGACCCGTTCCCACGCCTTCACACACGTACACGGATCACAAGCACACACACCGCACACGCGTTCCCTGCTCCACACGCGGGCAGAATCCACAGAGCACTCTTCGCCACACGCAGAACACAAACACACGAGCCATTCTCGGACACACAGCAAGCAACACTCCGGGCTAGGGCACACAAAATGCCCACAAATGCAGCACATTAACAGACACAACTCCTGCCACACAACCAAACTCAAATGTACAAACAACAGGCACACAGTCCTACTTGGCCCCACACACACTACACAGTGGCAGAGACACAAGACACTCAGCGCACACCCCATGCCTCCTCGATGCACACAACATTCACCTCAACATACTCGTGGACACACAACACACACAGCACCTCTTCTTGCACATAACTCAGGACACACACCATTCGCAGGCACACAACACCCTGAGCACACGATCGCACATCCCACACTCAGACACACAGGGAGCAGGCTCGCAACGTCCGGTCACCCAACACTCCCACTTTCTTTCGAGCTACGCCACGGGCGCCGGGGGCTCCGCGGGGCAAGCTGGGTCCGACCGACTCGCGCTTACCTGCCGGAGTCTCGGTCTCGGGCGCGCAAAGCTGGAAGGTGAGCGCCAGGACGAGAGCCTGGGCGCGGGCCATGGTGCGCCGCAGCCTGCTCCGGGGGCCCGGCGCGGGGGGCGCAGCCGCCGGAGCCCGAGCCGGGCCCGAGGAGAGCCAGAGCCGGAGCGAAGCGGCGCGGCGCGGAGCGGGACTGGCGCCGAGTCCAGAGCGGGAGCCCAAGCAAGCGGGGCGCTGACGTCAGGCTCGGCCGCGCGTTCCTCGGTCTCGAGGCGCCCCCTGCTGGCAGCCGCGCGCGCCGCTGCCCGGTTCGGTGGCCCGCGGCCCTGGTGCGCCCCTCCCCCACTCCCGGACCCCCTGGAGATCCCGGGCTGGGCCCGGACGCCCACCAGCCTCTGCACCCACCGGGCACCGACATTCTTAGGTGAGCAGGTCCACGCCTCTGCTCACTGCCCGCGCCTAGCTCCCACACAGCTCTTCAGGACAGAGACCAGGGACACCCGGCCTCTCAGTCCCATCCAACGCTTGAATCCCCTCTACCTAGATCCCGTCAAATGCGCATCCATACATACCTCCAAGGACAGGGAGCTCATCACCTACCAAAAGCGGTGGTGGGGTCTTTGGGAAAGCTAGCTTTTAACGTCGTTCATAGTATTGCTTTACCATCCTTTTAAAGTTCATGAGATCCGTAGTGATGTCCCCCTTTCATTTCTGATATTAGTAATTTGTGTCCTCTCTCTTTTCTTCGTCTGGCTAGAGGCTTATCGATGTATTGATCTTTTCAAAGAACCAGCTTCTGGTTTGGCTGATTTTTCTCTATTGATTTTCCATTTCACTGATTTCAGCTCTAATTTTTGTTGTTTTCCTGCTTCCTTGGCATTCAATTTGCTCTTCCTTTTCTAGTTTCCTAAGGCAGAAGCTAGTTTAGACGATCAATTGCAGATCTTTCTTCTTTTCTCATATATGCATTCAGTGCTATAAATTTCCCTCTGTGCACTGCTTTCCCCACATCCCACAAATTTTGATAAGTCGTGTTTTCATTTTCATTCAGTTTTCATTTAGTTTGAAATTTTAAAATTCCTCTTGAGATTTCTCCTTTGACCCATGTGTTATTTAGAAGTGTGTTAATCTCCAAGTATTTGGGGATTTTTCAACTTTCTTTCTGTTATTGAATTCTAGTTAATTCCACTATGGTCTGAGAGCAATCACTGTATGATTCTTTTCTTTTAAATTTGTTAAGGTGTGTTTTATGGCCCAGTAGGTGGTCTATCTTGGTGAAAACTCCATGTGATCTTGGGAACAATGTGTATTCTGCTGTTGTTGGATGAAGTAGTCTTTAGATGACCTCTATATTTAGTTGATTGATGGTGTTGTGGAGTTCAACTATGTCCTTTCTGATTTTCTGCCTGCTGGATATGTTCATTTCTTTTTATTTAGTTATTTACTTATTTATTTCTGGCTGCATTGGGCTTCGTTGCTGTTCATGGGCTTCTCTAGTTGTGGCGAGTGGGGGCTACTCTTCGTTGCGGTGCACGGGCTTCGCCTTGCGGTGGCTTCTCTTGTTGCGGAGCATGGGATCTAGGCATGCAGGCTTCAGTAGCTGTGGCATGTGGGCTTCAGTAGTTGTGGCATGAGAGCTTCAGTAGTTGTGGCTCATGGGCTGTAGAGCACAGGCTCAGTAGTTGTGGCGCATGGGCTTAGTTGCTCCACAGCACGTGGGATCCTCCCAGACCAGGGCTCAAACCCATGTCCCCTGCATCAGCAGGTGGATTCTCAACCACTGCGCCACCAGGGAAATCCTATGTTCATTTCTGACAGAGAGATGTTGAAGTCTCCATCTTTAATAGTGGATTCAGCTATTTCTCCTTGCAATGCTGGCTTTTAAAAAGTTCTTCCTCTTTATGCCGTGAAATCTGCCCCCCTCACTGACTCTCATTGATTCTAGTCTATCCCCTGGATACACAGCTTAAGTCCATTTGGGCATCTGCCCAGTATAAGCTCTTGTACAATGACCACAAACTAGTTGTCCATTAGTACATAAGATCAGGCACCTTCTATGTGCTTCACCCACATAGACTCATTTAATCCCCACCACTATTATTCTCATTACACAGTTGAGAAAATTAAGGTACAGAGAAAGAAAGTGACTTTTCCAAGGTTATGCATAGTATGCAGCAGCACCAAGATTTGAATCAAGGCCATCTGGCTTGAATTGAATAGAAGCTGAGACCTGTTTTCCATATGGAACAAATCAACGAACACTGGATACTGATTCATCTGTTCAACACTTACTCTAAGCCGAAGTGGAGACATAAAACAGACAAAAATCCCTACCCTCACGGAGCTTATACTCCAATGGAAAGACAAGAAAAATAAACAACCAAAAAAAGCAAATTCTCTGGTATGTGAGACAGTAATATACTAGAGAAATGGGGGAGAGAAACAGTAAGGGGGAAGGGAATTCTTGTAGTTTTAAACAGAGCACCTACTATATGACATATTCATTATGTGTCTGCACCTCTACAACATGAGCCCCCTAAGGGCAAGGACTCTGTCTTATATCCCACTGCTTGGTATCTGGCATGTAGTCAGCACTCAATAAATATTGAATGGATGATTAGATAAATGAATGAATGTAGACATGGTTCTTGCCTTCATGAAGCCTACATTTTAGGGGGAGAGACCAATAGCAAACATGCAGAGAAGAGACAGAAAGGATCATCCAGAAAAGGAAACTCAAGGAGAAACATCTGATGAAAAAAAGAAACAACCAAGGATGCTGCTGTTTCCAGAGGACTCTTGCAGGAGCCTCATGGAAGGAGTTTACCATTGGTCCTATTTGAGGGGATGTGGAAACTGAGGCTCAGAAAGCATAAGGCACTTCCCCAAGGTCACACAGCTAGTAAATGGTGGGCTCAGGGCTCAGACCTAGATCAGACTGATTCCACAGCCCTCTGCTCTTTGTGCAGGGGAAGACTATGGGCAGAGACTGTGATGGAGGGAGAAAAGGAACACAAGTAACAGATGGACAGATGAAAAGAGAACATTCTGCTCCACTTGAAAAAGACCACAAGCTTCTATAATCCTTGAGAGAAGAAGGAAGGGAAACAGAAAGTCTTGGCCTGGAGCCACTGGCCCAAATCTAGGGAAAAGGAGATGGCACCATAGACAGGGCCAGGCCATGAGGAAATTCAATCACTTTCAACTCATGGAATATTCATGATGCCTACCCTGTGCCAGGCCCCATATTGGGTGCTGGTGTCATGGAGATGTGCTAAACATGGCCCCACTCTTGCCTGGAGGGGGAAATGGCACATAAATAAATAAGAGACTATGTCCTAAAGGTCATAACACCAGTCCAAAGAAAAAACAAAGGCAGCAGGGGTTAACTCAGGCTGAGGGAGTGGAAAACAACATCAAAGAAGGGATATCTGAACCTGGAGTTTCCTAGACAGGCAAGGCAGGGAAGAGCATTTCAGGCAGAAGGAGCAGACTGAATAAAGGCACAAGACATGGAAGTACTGAGAAAGGTGGGTGTCAGGTATGGTTGCATCATAGTCTCTACATGGCCCAATAGCAGGAGATAAAGACAGTATGGAAGTTGGGGTACAAAGGGTCTTAAATGCAAAGCCAGGACAATTGGGCCTGAACCTTTCACTCAGTGGTTCTCAAACTGTGCCCCTGCAGAAACCCTGGTGTTCCTCAAGCCAAGCTGAGGCATCCTACTGTTGAATTAAAACCACAGCCATATTTTTCTAATTTGCAAGAAGGTAGATTAATTACAACGAGTAGAAAAGTTTTTGTTGTCATTTTAAGGTGTTTTCCCTCCATATATTTTTCTGAAGAATTTAGAACGTGTTAGTAGTGTGAGAGAATGTTAGAATTAGCATAGAATCATAGTTTTATTTACAAGTTTAATATATCAACAGGTCACAGTGTTCTACAAAGAACTGTAGTTTATGGTTCTCCCTGAGTATTGAGGAATCATGGAAGGACTTTAAGCAAGGGAAAGACAAAATCTGGTCTTTCTGTTAGGAAGAAAAAAAGTCATTCTGGAAGCCTGAGAAAGAAGGAAGTGGGGAGGGAAAAATAAGGGAGAGAATCTCAGGAAGAAGGTTGTTGACACAGTTCGACCTGAGAGCTGATGTCCTGGGCCTATCAGGATGGACAGGGGACTAAGTCCAGCCCCCAAAGAGGAAGACCTGCTGGGTAATTCTCCACGCTTCCTGGCTAAGATGCCCAGGAAATTCAGAGGAAACGATTTAGTATAGAAGATAATGTCAACAGCTCAATGTCACCTAGGGAGTCTTGCAACAGAAGTAGAACCGTGGGTCACTGTGAAAACAGAAGATAGGCAAGACTGGGTATTTGTGTGTGTGTGTGTGTGTGTGTGTGTGTGTGTGTGTGTATTGTGGGACCAAGTCTTTCTCCCACCATGGAACACCAACTTTCTCTAATAATAAAAATAAGTACAAACACTTTTTAAGCATGTACTATGAGCCAGTCTAGATGTTTTACATATGATGTTTCTCATTTAATCTTTACAATAACCCCCAGGAACATTTATCAAATGCTTTCATGTGCCAAACATTGAGCTAAATGCTTCAAGTGAATAATATCTCACAACAGCCTTGAATCAGATACTATTATTTCCTTCCTTTTACAGGTAAGGAAGTGGAAACACAGAGAGGCCAGGTGACTTGTCCAAGATCAAATGGACTTGTCCAAGTCCAGTGGCAGAGCCAGGACTCAAAGCCAAGCTGGCTAGAATGCAGCACGTGCACTCTTCATCATGACATTTTCTTTTCTTCCTCAGAGGAAAGGCTCTAAGTTGGCAAGTTTGGGGTCAATAAAATCCAATGAAAGGAATTCTTCCTTGTCCTTTGAAGTCCTGATTCAGTGTTTCTCAAGTTTGTTCCCCAGGTCACCTCCATCAGAATATTCTCGAGAGCTTCTAAGAAATGTAGATTCCTGGACCCTTCCCCAAGATTCTAACTCAGTAGGTCTGAGATGAGACCCCAGGTGAGTTTCATGCATATTGAAGATTTTGAGTCACAGGACCGGCTCCAACAGCACTCCCTCCAAGGGTGCCCACCCCCACCCCAATCCCAAAACACCTCTCTCCTTCAGACTCCAGCAGTGCCCTCTGTCATGTCCTAATATTCAACTGGGGTGTTAGTTACGCTCATGTCTTCCTTCCACTAATAATATGATCTAGCATCTTTCTCGGGCTACACCTTTTTACCCATTGTCCCATTCAATCCTACTGCACCCTGAGCATTCTGAGAGGGGGCTCTCCTTCTTATGATTCCTCCCTTGTAATCTGAGCACACTTGGCATTCTACAATGTGCTATCCGGTCCACGACAACATTATTCTGTTGTTCTATCCAATCCTTACAACAATCTTGAAAGAAGTATATTAGCCCCAATGAGAAAACTGACTCAGTTTCAGTCACTTGCCCGAGATGGCCAAGGTAAGAAGTGGAGGGTCTAGGATGTGAACCTAAGTCTTCTAACTCCAAATCCAGTACTCTTGCCTCTATATCAGCTTACATCCATCTCCTCTACTTGGTGTAGGGAAGTAAGCTTTGCCACCCTATGCTAGCAGAAGACAGCGGGGATTAAATGAGATAATGCCTTAAAGGGCCTGGCAGAGTGAACGCTCAAATGGTGGGGAGGAGGAGAAACTGAGGCCAGAGAAGGTGAAATGTCTTCCCCCCCAAGTCAAACACCAATCGCAGCCCATAGACACAGCCTTAGGCCAGTATCAGACGCTCCTTGTTAGGAGTTCAACTCTGGCAGGCTCAGAATCTCCGAGACTCCCTTAAGTCCCTCCACCGACCAGGCCTCGCTCCCCTGTCAGTCTCACCAAGCGCCACCGCGCGGACCGCGGAGGAAGGGGACGGCCTTCTAAAAGGAGCAAAGGGCGTGGTCACGCGACGGGGCGGGGCGCAGGCGCGAGGTCGCTGGAAGATGACGTATCTCACAGCGTCCGGCTCTGAGTTAACCGGAGGGAGCATGTGGGTCCGCGGGGCGCGAACCCCGGCTCAGCTGTGGCGGCGGCTGTTCCCCGCGTTCCGCCGCCGGCGATCTGCTGCCGCCGCCTTCTCCGCATCTGCCGAGCCCTCCCGGGTCCGGGCGCTGGTCTATGGGCACCACGGGGACCCAGCCAAGGTCGTCGAGTAAGACACCGCGCCGAAATGGGGCAAGGGAGCTCGGGTTCCTGGAGGGTTTTAAGATGGGCTGTGGAAAATGGGGACTGGAAAGGGAGGGACAAGTCCCGAGGAGGAAGGCAGCGAACAGGACCGAAACTGTAGCCCAGGGCGTGTGTGGTAGCTCAGAAAGTCGTTGCTTGGAAGTTGAAAACCCGAGAAGCACAGTTATAATTGTAGTAATGGCTGACGTTCATTGATCCTGTACTGTGTGTCGGGCAATCCCTGTGTAAATGGATGCTCTCATTTAATCGTCACAACAACCTTTTGGAGGAGGTACTTGATTTAGCCCCGTTTTGCAGATGAGAAAATGGAAGCATGGGAAGTAAAATCACTTGTCCAAGGTCACACAAGCCAGTGAGTGGCAGAGTCGGAATTTTTGAACCCAGGTCTGTCTGACTGGCCTACGTGAGTTCCTACGCTCTATTATATTATGGAAGGAATTTTCAGAATACTTTTTGGTCCATTTGGATCTTCACATCTCAGAAAGTAGGTCAGAGATCATTGTTTCCATTTTACAGAAGGCAGGGGACTTGTCCAAAGTGATATAGCTAATAAAGATTGGAACAGAGACAGGGATCCATGGCTTCTGAGTCCTGTCTCGTGTGATTTCCTCTCCACTGCGCATGTGCCTTTAGTTAAAAAGAGATCCTGTTTTGGAGCCATACAGACCTAAGGTCAAATACAGGCTCAGCCTCTTAGTAGCTGTTTGATCTTGGACAAGTCACTCAGCCCTTGTTACTCTTATGATTATGTCCTAAAATTCTGTTGGATCTTAACCCATGATTTTCACATGTGGCTCATAAAAACAGTATGTGAATTTTCAACGATTATAAATCTGCACATAAGCGATTATAGTCATTCAAAAGAGCTAGTAGGGTCACTAGTGGCGCTAGGGCAAAAGCATGGGTCTGGAGTCAGAAGACCTGGGGTCAAATCCTTGCCTCCCTGTCCTAGCTGTGTGTGTTTGGCAAGTTACTGAGATTCTCTAAGCCTCGGTTTCATCACATTTAAAAATGGAGACAATGTAGTCATAGCTCATAGTGCTAATCAGCTGCAATAAAAGGAATCCTGTTCACCAGAAAGCACCTGCATACTCTCTTGCAGTCCCTTATTTCCAACTCTTCGATTCCCAGCAAATGGTTTGATTGTTTTCCAAAGGTCAGGCCAACAAGGAGTTATTTTCATGATTAAAATACAGGCTAGAGGGCTTCCCTGGTGGCACAGTGGTTAAGAATCCGCCTGCCAATGCAGGGGACACGGGTTTGAGCCCTGGTCCGGGAAGATCCCATATGCCGCAGAGCAACTAAGCCCATGCGCCACAACTACTGAGCCTGCGCTCTAGAGCCTGTGCACCACAACTACTGAGTCCGCGTGCCACAACTACTGAAGTCCGTGCTCTACAACAAGAGAAGCCACCACAATGAGGAGCCCGCACACAGCAAAGAAGACCCAACACAGCCATAAATAAATAAATTTATTTTTTAAAAACAATACAGGCTAGAGTGCTGGCTTCAGCAGCACATATACTAAAATTGGAACGATACAGAGATTAGCATGGTCCCTGCGCAAGGATGACATGCAAATTTGTGAAGTGTTCCATATTTTTACTTAAAAAAAAAAAAATACAAGCTAGGTGTTTTGACAGCCAAAGGGGTTAAGCCTCAGATAATTTCACAGTCATGCACTCAGCCTAGCCACATCCACCATTAGAGCAATTGAAAAGAATGTTGAGAAGACATGTCAGTCAATAAACCCCAATTTGTATGTTGATCATAGGTAATAAATCACCATGTTGGGAAGACAACTCCCTGAGGATTGCTGTAATGAGTTGGTAAAGTTCTGATGAACACTTTTTCCAAGAGTGCCCCCCAAACAGGAACGATGTAGTGCCTCTCTCACAGGCTTGTCATTTATGCGTCTGGTGCAGGACCTGCCACAAAATAGGAGCCGCAGAAACGTTTGTTGAATCTGAATCTAATTTCTGTAATAAGTGCACCTTTTATTGAGTTCTGTGGTGATGAGGAAGGCATCTCCAATGTGCAGGGACCCTGAGAAAAGGCCTGGGAAGGTTAGGCAGCTGAGTGCAGCTGCCTCCTGATTGATTCCCTCCCCTTGGAGAGTCAGGGAAGCTAGAACAGACCCGTCTGGTTGCAGATGCCACTTGGGGAAGAAAGACAGCTTGTCTCCTTGTGTGGGACCCTGATAATTTCCGGGAAGTTCAAGACATGATACTTCCACGAAGCATTGTATTCAAGCTTGGCCTCACATCTCAGTCACCTGTGGCACTTATGGAAACTATGTATTCCCAGGTGCCACTCCCGAGGTACGTAGCAGGTCTAGAACAGCCCTAAACATCTGAGTTTTTAAAGCTCTCCAAGTGACTCTGATGCCTAGGCCAGGGTTGAAAACCATTACCCTGTGGATACGGATTGTCAGGCGCGCAGTAATTCTCTCCGCCCCTGAAGGGCAGCTTTCCCTCCTGACCCAGATTCAGGTGACCTGACTTGATCGTGTGTGGACTGAGGCCAGAGGCTGGGATTCTCTTCTTTGTAGTCATGTCTTAGGTGGTTTAGGGTAACCACGCCGTCACAGAAAGAATCAGGTGTCCTTTAAACATCCTGGTGACTGGATGTGTCAGGTTACACCAGGTGGGGTCATGGTGTCTGAGCAGAGTCCGAGCAGAGTATTCCCCAACCTGCTGTGGTTTGCGATACTTGCACTGTGGGCGGAGCTCTGGGAACAGCAGGGAGGGAAGGAGAAAGAGTCTGCTCAGATCTGAGAGGTTGCAGAACTCCTCAGAATGAGGCCTCCAGGGACCTCCTGTTCTTGTGTCAACATTCTGAATGTCCCTCTCTTCATTCCTCTTGGCCCCAAACATTCCAGCTGTTCTCTACTAAGGCCTTTTCCTTTGGTCTCTTAGAGTTTCTTTCTTTTATGCCCAAAATGAATCCCTTAAATAAGCACTTGGGCCTTTTTCATGTAAAGAATTGAACTGCTGACCTAAATGAAGCAAGACTGCAGGAGAAAATTACAAAGGTGGGAGAATTACAAACATTCCAGAACTTTCAGAGGTCCCCATGACCATCAGCCCACATGCAGAGTTCTGGATTCTCTATGACATAATTCCAAGAAACTCCAATGTCCTCTTTCCTTTTGTTCCTGGAAGTCCCATTTTAGAACTTGATGTTCTCTGGATCTTATAGTAAAAACAGCTCTCATTTATTGTGTACATACCATGAGGCAGGCATTGGGCTAAGTTCTCCACGTATATTATGGATTTTAAGAATCACAGTAGGGGCTTCCCTGGTAGCGCAGTGGTTAAGAATCTGCCTGCCAATGCAGAGGACATGGGTTCAAGCCCTGATCCGGGAAGATCCCACATGCCACAGAGCAACTAAGCCCGTGTGCCACAACTACTGAGCCTGTGAGCCACAACTACTGAAGCCCATGCACCTAGAGCCTGTGCTCTGCAACAAGAGAAGCCCGCACACCACAACAAAGAGTAGCCCCCACTCACCGCAACTAGAGAAAGCCCGCTCGCAGCAACGAAGACCCAACGCAGCCAAAAATAAATATAGAATAAATAAATTAATTTTTTTAATTAAATTTTAAAAATAAATAAATAAAAATCACAGTAACCCAGTTTGCTCATTGCTATCACCATTTTACAGATAGGAGAACTGAGGCTCAAGACACTTGAAAGTCACTCGCCCAAGATCATACAACTAGGATGTCCCTTCTTTACTAAAGGTCCATGATATAGACATAGGCCTGAAGAAACAATGACAGTCATTGCAAATGTTTTTTGAGCATGAGATGGAGTATAATACTGGGAAGGAGATAGGTCAGAAGAGAAGGCAAAATTCTAGGTCATTCAGGTGACCCCAAGTCTCTGCTCTTCATAGGACGCACAGCCCCCTCCCCACCCCCAGGGAAGATGGTAGGAATGCTATCCTCTGTCTCGTCCCCTTTTCAGGATCCTGACACTTTCATAAAACAGCATCCTAGTCATCATGGCTTTCTCACCTGCCTGCTGCTAGCACAGAATGAAATGAAGCTGTGAAACCTTTGGACAAATACCCTTTCTGTCTTAGCCAGATGGAATTTGGGGGAGCATGTGGTGGGGACCCAGGTTGTATAGGTGGTGAGTTCTCACTGTAGGGCACTGTTTACTCTCAAGGGATTTCTTCTTTTTTACAGTTGATGTCAGTGTTTAAAACCAAAACTCTGTGCAAATGACTTGGTTTTTAAACCAGAATTACAGTACTTTGAAAAAAAATTTAGCATTCTGGTTTGGCACCCTAAGAACTGGGATTTGTTTGCTTGTTTGTCTCCTGGAGCTATTTTCTGTGGTCATGAATGGAGGAGAGGACAGAACTCATTGTGCACCTACCATGTGAACCAGCATTTATTCTTCGAGGGCCTACTGAGCGCTAGGTGCTGAAGGCGCAGAGATTGATAATCTGTGGCCTTTTCCCTCAAGGAGCTCACATTCTAGTCCAGGAGATGATCCAGGGGGTAAGTGCTAGGATATCTATGTTCAGAGTCTGTGGACACCCAGAAGATGAGCACCCGACCCTACCCCCTCGGGGTGGTCAGAATGCTTTCTCTGAAGACATGAGATCTAAGTTGAGTCCCCCAGAAGATCAGGTGAGCCATATACAAGGAGGGAAAGTAGAAGAACCTGCATGGGCAGAAGCCCAGAGGGAAGAGAAAATGTGGTGTGTCTGACTAAGGAATATTTGTTGGGCGCCCTCATATGTGATCTTTGAGGGAGGAATCTGTGGAAACAGGCTCAGAAGGGACGAGCCTGAAGTCGCAGGATTCAGACTCAAGCTGGATTTCACATCCTGTGACACCGTTACATTACCTTCCCTCTTGACTTCACATGACGCGGCCGGGTTTGGGGCCCAGCCCTTCTACCCTCTTTTCCTCATTCTTTCCTCTGAGGGTGAAACTTGGCAGCA